TGAAATGAATTCAGAATTTACGTCGCACGCTGGTAATTTCGGTGATGCTTTGCAAACGCAAGTTGATCCACGAACGGGACAGTTCACAGTCAACTTTCCAGTCGCCTCTTTAGTTGGCAACAATCAATTGGGTCCGGATCTGTCTCTCTCATTGAGATATTCACCCCTCAACTCGGCAAACGAAGGCTTCGGACATGGTTTCACTCTCGGTCTCACGCAATTCAACGATCGCACCCATTTGCTTCAACTTGCTAACGGAGAGCAATATCGCGTTGATCCTGGCTCTGTCAACATTCAAGCCAAGAAACTTAACAATTTTCTGTTCGTCTATACAAATGGCAATGACGATGATGATGGTTACACTGTGTATTGGAAGGAAGGCAAAGTGGAGAAGCTTACGAAAACGGAGGATGGTAATCGCTTTGTGCCAACCACGATTTTTTCACCGCTTGGCCGTCGGTTGACTCTCGAATGGGATTGGAGTGGTCAATTGTCGCGATTGTCTCAAGTCAAAGACGAATATCGAACCTTGTGCGACATTACTTACAACGCGTCGATTCTACAAACATCGATAACCGTTTGGCCCAACACCAAGGACGAATATACGGTGGAGTTTGATTTTATCAACGATCAATTGGACACCGTTTCACGGCAGGTAAGACGCAAACACCAAATGAATAAGAATGAAATATCTATTTCGGATATTGACCGTTTTCATTTCACGTTTCTCAATAGTCTTAACGATACTATCGTCATCAATAGGCAGTTTAGCGTTTCTGAATGTTCAATTTGTTTCATTTTTGTTATTCCTGCAACGATAATAGGTTTTTGGTGCAAAGAAACTCACATGGAATTTCATCTATGATCAACTCGTTGACATCATTGATTTCGGGACGAAATTAACATTGACCCGTGTAGAATATCCAACTGGTATGAGAGATGAGGTGGAATATAACGTACGAGAAGGATTGAAACTTCCTGATCAATCGAATCGGAATTCCACTGTGCCAGCCGTGCACACTCATACTCGTTACCTGGGCAGCAATCAGCCGGAGATGGTGATTCAATACGAATATACAACTCAAAATTTCCTCGGCTTCAATGGTGATTATGACGAATGGTCGGCTGATAGAGACTACTTATACCAAACGCTCACCGATTACACTTACGGTTCGACGGAAACTGTGACGAGTGGCCAAGAAACTGTAACCACCGAACGGGCATACAACAGCTATCACTTGATGATATCTGAAGAGGTCAAGAGACAAAATTGTACATATCGCACTGAATACACTTATCATGCCAAGCCTTATGATAGCATAGAGGCACAACCCGCGCAATTCCAGTTGCCAAAGGAGAAGAAAGAGATTTTCATCGACGAAAATAAGCGTACTCGTACACAGATCACGAAAACTGAGTTTGACACCAGTGGCAATCCAACGAAAGAAATCAGCCCCGACGGAACAGAGACTCGAACAACGTGGTACTCGGCAAACGGTGAAAACGGTTGCCCTGCCGAACCGAATGGCTTTGTCCGATTTATAAAGGAACAGAAAACTATTCCCCGGCGCATCAGTGGTTCGGAGAAAGAGGTTTCCAGAAAATATACGTACACAAAACTAGGGAATACAAACTATGTCGTTCAGGATACTGAATTGGGCTATCATGATGGAGTGCTCTTAGATCGACGATCAACTGCATACAATAGTCAACAAGGAGGTGCTGAATTCGGGCGCATCACTGAAATTATCGATTTATTGTATGATTTGAACGACAGAACAAAATCCTATGCAAACATAAAGAGATTCACAACGGAGGTGAAAGATGGCGAAATGACACAAACCATCCACTTCAGCGGTCACGATGGCCTTCAAACCAATTCGACACGACGACAATCCATTTTCAATGGTCGTGTGTACAGCGATATTTCGTCTCAAGGAATCGAAACTCGGTACAGTTATGATGCCATGGGTCGATTAATACATAGAACTCTATGTCCCGGTTCTGCTTACGAACACAGCACCACATTTGAATATGGTATTGATCCGCAGGGGCCATATTCAATCGAAACCGATCCAACGGGAAATAAAAGTAAAACACGATTCGACGGAGCTGGTCGTATAATCAACAGACAAAGATTCGATGCAGATAAATCGGAGTGGTTCAAAATATTTTCCAAAGATCACAATTCGCTGGGTGAATCCGTCAATAGTACGGTAAATGATTGGCTGATAGGTAGCTCTGGCAAAGCTACTAACTTCCCTTTAAGTGCAACTACCTCATTTGATGGTTGGGGAGAAATGAAGAGTGTTGCATTCTCAAACGGAAAGACACAGCATCAACAAACTGACCAAATCAATCTAATTCACACATCTTATGAACAAGGGAACATAAACAACGAACGTTTGACCAGCGGAAGTTTCATCAATGCATACGATACAATCAATGGAAATCTAATCAGTAAAACGCTGAAGACGGTTTCGGGTGAAGTGCACAGCACAATTCAACTTACATGGGATGGATTGGGTCAATTGCTCGAGGAACAAGATGAAATGGGCGCTGTGACAAAAAGAACGTATGATGAATGCGGACGAGTTATAACGCAAACATTGCCAGATGGTACTATCGTACGGCGGACATATGCACCACATTTAGGTGGAAACGAGGTCAGTATTCATCGTTTATTTATATGAATTTATGTAGCAAATTTGAAAAAATCAGTTTTATTGCACACGAATGAATATGGATAACAATTCACAGATTGCATCGATCAGTGTCACGGGCTCAGACGCCAGCGGAAGAACACGAACGTGGTTATTGGGAACACAAACATTTGACAGTTTGGGAAGATTGAAAGAGCGCGTTAGTGGAGGCAGAACCACTTCGTACACGTATCAAGGTGTATCTCCGAAGCCATCGACTGTGACAATGCCATCCGGTAAAACTCTACACTACACATACATTCCCGAGCTAGACTATGCGATCAGCAGCATGACGACTGATGGTATTACACAAACCTACAGTTATGACAAAGGGACGGGAAAATTGTTATCAGCTTCTGAGTCGCCGTCTACAATTCATTATACTTGGTCTAAGGACGGACGTTTGACAGAGGAAATGTTTTCGTATAACGGAACAAGCAAGAGATCAAAACATGCTCAAACACTCAATGAAGCGCCCACCTCGTACACTGATGTGACGGGAAAGGAAACCCAATATACCATGAACTCACACGGTCAAGTCATCCGTATCTCCGATCCAAATCTTACCGTTGATTTGACATACGATGCTTTGGGCCGACTAAAGACGAAATCAGTGCGCGACCAATCTTCGAATTCATCGCTAACCACCAGACTGAGCTATGATGATTTCGGCAGAGAAATCAAACGAACAATTGCAGATGGCTCGGGGGTCACAGTGGAGCTTTCGCAAACGTTCCAGATAAATGGTCTTCTGGCTACCCGTAGTACAAAGAAAAATAATGTTACAATTCGAGACGATCATTTCGGTTATGATAACCGCAATCGATTGGTAAGCTATAGGGCCACCGGTAATAGCTTGCCCACCGACGCGTATGGCAATCAAATGACCAGTCAAACATACCAATTTGATGCTTTGAATAATTTGACTTCCGTAGCAACTACGTTTAATGATCGTTCTTCCAACACGGCGACGTATCACTATGAGAATCAGAGCGATCCGACTCAGTTGACAAAGGTCAATAATACCCACAGCAAATATCCAGCAAACGTTAACCTTAGTTATGATGCTGAGGGTCGAATGACCCATGATGAAGCTGGCAGAACATTGTCCTATGATGCGATGGGTCGGTTGAAGAGTGTCATCGAGAAAAATGGACGCACAAGTATATATGGATATGATGCATTGAGTCGATTGATTACACAAAAAATCGGTGACAATGATATTCGCCACTTGTACTATCGTGGCACAGAGCTGGTGAACGAAATATTTGTATCCAAACATCGCGAGACTCGCCTCATTAAATCTGGCCATTCATGCTTCGGTATAATCGATGGAGACCATCTTACGCTAACTGGAGCAGACAAAAATGATAGTTTGTTGATGTCGACGAATAGCAAAAAGGATGCTGGTAATGCCCAACTGCATGCTTGGTCGCCGTACGGCAACGGTGAGACCGACAGTTCATTGCCCGGTTTTAATGGTGAACGCATCGATCCTTCTAGTGGAATGTATCACTTGGGAAACGGTTACCGAGCTTATAACCCGGTTCTAATGCGATTCAATTGTCCCGATAGCTTGAGTCCATTTGGAGAAGGGGGAATCAATGCTTATGCATATTGTGCAGGGGATCCAATAAACCACACCGATCCATCAGGTAATATTTATTCCGATAGCGCCAAAGTTGATATTTTATCACATTCCATTTTTTTTATATATATATTTGTACAGGCCACTTGAGTTGGCAGGCAATTACTGGAATTGTGATGAGCGCAATTGGCATTGCCTTCTCTGTTTTCACTGCTGGCGCATCAATCGCAGCGGCTGGAGGAGTGATGGCCGCGATCGCTTCTGCATCCACTACTTCGTTGATTGTTGGTGGCTTGGGAATCGTATCGGACGTTACGAGTATAGTAAGCGGTGCAATGGAAGACACTTCACCAGAAGCATCAGGTATACTCGGTTGGGTGTCTTTAGCAACAGGGATTGCTGGTATGGCTATTGGTGTTGCCAAGGGTGGTACCAAAGCATTACAAACCTATCGGGCTGCTCGAAGTGAAGCTAAAGAAGGCCTAAGAAACTTGAATGATCCCAATTATGTTAATCAGCTAAGAAGAATGGCGCAGAAACATAAGATGACAGATCTGGATAGATTACCTCAACCTAGACAAGCACCACGTGGAACCAGACAAGCTGCAGATGCTTGGCACAGAGAAAAAGTTGGAAATTATTTCAAAATTGGTTCGGATGTTACAATAAATGGCAATGATGTCAGAAAAGAAATAGACAAGATGATACACCTTGCAACGCCAGATAATCCAATTATCATTCTTACTGGTGGACATGGCAATCAACTTGGTCTCAACTATAAAATGGCGAGTAATGGAAAAATTGTAAGAGATGATCGTTTGCTTCAAACTGCATTTTATGCCGAAGATATGGCAAAGTGTGCTAGCCAAAGAGTACGTGTATTAGATATGCATAAAATTCCTTTCAGTCAGATAGCGAGATACATTCAGGGTGACCACCATGTCATAATGGGTTTCTGTTTTGGTCGCAATGATGCAGCTTTAAGATATTTATTAAATTTGCCCCCAGTCACATCGTTTGTATAAAAATTGTGATTTGATCATGATTTGATTGAGTAGCATGCTAAATTGTCAAGACAAAATATTGAAAAAATGTTTGAGAAAAACATGCATTTGAATATATTTCTAGAAGTAAGAAAATTTTTAGAACAAATCAAATTGAAACGAATGACTGTACTAATGATAAGAAACTTACTTGAAAAAAAGATTTAAAAAAAAAGTTTTTAATGCTGAGAACACACCGATTGAGAAAATAATTATGGCAAAAATCAAAAACTGTTTCATTGGAATTTATAAAATGACGCAAAGATGAATTTAAATAATACAGTGAAATATTGTGCATAATGAGACGGTGTCCGAGCGGCTTTTATATCAATGCTGTATGTCGACATAAACTAGTGAAAACTGCAACATTCTGTCGAATATATATACACAACAATGCCCGCAGTCAGGATGGAGATTGTATGGCATATTTCGTGGAAAATCCAAACAGGAAGTATATAAATCATTTGATATTACTGGGTCAAACATGTTTGACTGGTGGACCGATCCAATAATTGATTTTTGTATATAGCAATCTTTTTTAATAGAACTCTGGAGTAAGCACAATTGGTTCTTAGCTCATGGTGTGTTTATTGAATATTTCAAAAAAAAAACACACATCACGGAGGACGATAGTCCGACAAGTGACGCTCCATAGACTGTGCATTTCAAGCCAAATATCAAAAATGCCAGTTTTTGCGTCACGAGTATATATACAGTAAGTATGCTATTTTCTCAGGGCACTATTTGGGCCCCGGCATGTTAGGTACCGTTGGAAAGGTCTTGGCCCAAATAGTCGGAAACACCATATCCCCCATGCCTAAAGTGTGGTCTAGGCAAAAATATAGCGGTTGGAAAATTTCGATAAATTTTCAAATCTATACCCATATCTTACGAAGGGGGTACCCAGGGGGTGGTCTGAGGTGTCCAAGAGAAGCTCCTCCTCGCCACCTTTCCAA